AGTGGAGGGTGGCGCCTCGGCGGGCGGGGGCAGTGGAGCCCGGCGCCTCAGCGGCCCCCAGGAGGGCGCGGAGCTCACCTGGTAGGTGTCCCACAGGCGGACGGCGCAGCGCAGCGGCAGCTCCCGCATCAGCAGGTTGTTCATCCAGCGGAAGGCAAACTGCAGGTACTTCACCTCGTGCTGCTCCAGGTGCCGGTGCACCGGCTCTGCGGGGGACAGACACAGGCCGAGGCTGTCAGGGGGCCCGCAGCTCCGCCAGCAGCCCGGTCCCGTCCCCAAGCCTGCCTCGGCACCCACTCCAGCCACCAGGGAGCCCCAAGCCACGCCCTCTACGGAGCAAAGGACTAATTTCTGTACTGGAAGACTTCAGGTTCCAGAGACTCTTAAGGAAAAAGACCAGTGACGATGATGATGATGACAGTTGCGGCTCCCAGGGCTCCTGGGCCACGCCACATGTTGGGTACTTCACACGCCACGGCCCGTTAAGGTGAGGACCATTCCTGTCTGACAGATGAGAATGCCGGCGCTGAGGGACGCCTCATGGGGGGATCGGTCGGCACCCACATCCATCTGGCTCCACAGGTGTGGGCCCTTTCCCCCGGTTCAGGGCAGACCCGCCAGAGGGAGGGACACAGGGAGAGAGGGGGCGACAAGTGGGCCAGCTGCCAAGGCTGACTTCCACCTCACCCAGGAAAATGCCCGCCCGCTCCCGGAGCAAACAGTAGAATGGGCAAGTGGGCATGTCCCTGGGCCAGGGGCCGGGCGCCTCTGGATTCCAGGCTGGGGGCATCCATGAAGACAGCTGGGCCTCTGAAAAGAACAGGCTCTACCAGCTGTCGTTCCGCCAGCACCACCTCACATCAGCCACAAAATCTTTCCTTCTCACCACGCAGCAACAGGCAGCAACCTAACAATTTAAGATCCCTGAATTGCCTAAGATCTCTCTACTGACACCCCATAAATATAGCTTTAGGAGCCGTGGGACCCTCCAAGGTTGCTGGAATACGGGAAGTGTCACTGCAGGAAGCACAGGATGACCACACCCTAGTCCACCCCACGGAGTGCCACGAGCGTGCCTGGGAAGCGTAGGTCCGATTTCAGAAAAACAAGCAGGTGCTGCCTAACCGACCAGGTTGTAAATCAGGACTTTCTCACACTGATTTGTTAAAAAATCAGGGCCCACCCAAGTGTCGCAAAGAGCCCTCTTTCTGTACCCATCTTTTCATTGACCCTACTCCCTAAGTACACCTCCCTTGCCTCCCAGGCTCACCTTCCCATTGGCGAGCCCTGAGAAGTGACCCTGAAAAATTTCCCAGGGTTTTCAGTTCTCCCAAAGAAAGTTCTAGAAATGGCAAACAGACAAATGCAAGAAAAAAGGTACTGTTCTATCATTTACTGGTTTGTTTTTAACTCAGGCACCTGATAACCTGCAGCTGTTCAGGAACAAGGCCTTCCACCTACTAAGCAAGAAGATATGGGGACTGGAGTGCCCACGCTGTCACCGTCCCGCGTCTGTCAGATGTTCACCTTTAGCGGGAGTCTGGCTGGGCTTCGGGACCCTGTAGCAGAGACACCCTCTCCTCCAGGCTACGAGGAGGCTTTGCTGGGTTCACTCTGGTTCTCACTGTTCCTCGCTGTCACCTCTTCCCCCAAACTATCACTGTCCTTGGCTGACCAGAACAACACTCCTTGGCAACCCCCACTCGGCAGGCTGGGGCTGCACACCTGTGGGGCCAGATGTAGGTAGAGGCGGGCGGAGTAGATACAGCAACACACGGTCAATTCAACAAGACAGACAATGAATAAGCACATGGCGGGGATGGTAAGAACAGTGGAGGCTAACCCGAGGAGCCTGGTGCAAAGGCAGGAGGTGACCGTCTCGCTTGTGTCCCACAGTGACGCTTCATGGAGCCTGATGGAACCCAAGCAGCCAGTGGGACCCCAGAGGCACGCAGGCCAGGCTACCATGTGCTGCTCTGCAGTAACATACTCACTGGGGACTCAGGGTCTGGCCCTAGCCAAGGCAGGCCCAGCCCGGCCCGGCCCGGCCCGGCCCAGCATAGTCCAGCCCAGCCCAGCCCAGCCCAGCCCAGC